GCAATTTCACATTAAGGTGAGGATCTGTAAAGGCATTCATTTGCATAATTTAATTTTCTGCACAGAAGATACTGAAAATCAATAGCATGATTCATAGGCATACCATATCATTGCCACGCCGCCTTTGGTTGTCTGTTTGAGCTTAGAAGAGTACAAAGAGTATTAAAATTGATTAAATTTTGGTGTGCTGACTCTGTGTCTTTACTTGGGAACCACAGACTGTTTCTATTTGCAAATCACTGCTCCTTGCCAATAAAATATTAAGTTGTTTAATATACTCTATATATACTTTTTGACTACTGTTCAAATAATAGTTTTAAAACTTGGTTTTTAAAAAAGATCACCTCATCATCGATTAAAATACATTTGAGGAGAGGACTTAAAATGTTGTCTTAGTTTAAATTATGTGAGTGCCAGTAAGAATGATAATTAGTCCTGAGACATTTTTGTTGTGTGAACATCATAGAGTGTACTTAACAAACCTAGATGGAATAGCCAGCCCACTATACACCTAGACCATATGGTATAGCCTAATGCTGCTAGGTTACAAACCTGTACAACATGTTACTGTCCTGGATACTGTAGGTAATTGTAGCACAATGGTAAGTATCTGTGTATGTAAACAAACATATCGGAACACATAAAAGGTACCGTAGACCAGGCGTGGTGGGTCACGCCTGTAATCCCAGCACTTTGTGAGGCTGAGGAGGGCGGATCACAAGGTCAGGAGTTCAAGATCAGCCTGGCCAATATAGTGAAACCCTGTCTCTACTAAAAATAAAAAAATTAGCTGGGCATGGTGGTGCGCAGCTGTGATCCAAGCTACTCGGGAGGCTGAGGCAGGAGAATTTTCTGGCTTGAACCTGGGAGGCAGAGGTTGTGATGAGCTGAGATCCTGCTACTGCATTGCAGCCTGGATGACAAAGTGAGACTCTGTCTGAAAAAAAAAAAAAAAAAAGTACAGTAGAAAATACCTTTATAGTCTTATGGGACCAGCATCATATATGTAGTTTTTCATTGACTGAAATTTTATCACGTGGCACATGACTTTACTTGATTATGCTCTTACAGATAGGGGAGGGGGAGAGGTCACACATTATTGACATAGATGGAATAAAAAGGAAAAAATATATAGTCACCTTTAGTGAGTAGTTAAAAAATAAAATATGGTGTGAGGGTTAAAAGTCCTGCCCTGTTCATTTCTGAACAATTGCCTCCCTGAAGAATTGCGTATTTGTCACTCAGGGCCATCTCCTTTTTGCTTTATGTATTAAGTGCTGTTTCTGATAGGTGGTCAGTGGCTAGAGAGAGTCAGTGAGGTTCTGGGTGGTGGTTTTGCCTGTGGCTTATGTAAACACACACATAACATGCATAGATAACACATTTTCTTACCATCACTACCCTCTAGAACACAGAAACCATCAGCTTTTTTATCTTTTATGTGTTCATTCAATCCCTCACTTTTTTTGGGGGGGGGGGATGGAGTCTTGCTCTGTCGCCAGGCTTGGGTGCAGTGGCACAATCTCGGCTCACTGCAACCTCCACCTCCCGGGTTCAAGCGATTGTCCTGCCTCAGCCTCCCGAGTAGCTGGGACTACAGGCGCGTCACCATGTCCAGCTAATTTTTGTATTTTTAGTAGAGACGAGGTTTCACCATGTTGGGCAGGATGGTCTCGATCTCTTGACCTCGTGATCCACCCACCTCGGCCTCCCAAAGTGCTGGGATTACAGGCATGAGCCTCGCACCTGGCTGCCATTCCCTCGCTGTTGATGAACACACACCATGCGCTGAGTTCCATTGTGAGTAGTAGGTTGACAGTAATAGTTCAGGAATATGCCTGTGCCCTATTTCCAGGGAGCTTAGAGCCCTTCATACGCCATGCAGCATGCCCTTGAGAAGCCAGTTTTCCTGCCCATTCTGACCTCACTGTGGAAAACCCACATTGTACCTCAATACTTTGGGTAGTGTGAGGAAGACAATATTAACCTACCTTCCTTGGGATGGCTCTGTCCCTTCTGTTACCTCTTGTCGTATGTAGCAGAACTGTACCTTTTACTTCTGTCTTAAGTGAATTACCTTTAGACAGGCAGTCCTGCTGCTCAAGTCCAATTCCTTATACCACAGTGTGATGTATATGTGTGTCTGGGGTGAAGTCCAAAGCATAGGGTTGGTTGGTTTGTTTTAAAGTAGCCCAGGGTTAAGAGTCAGAGCTCTAGAACAACAATGGCCTTTTATGGGTAGAGAAATTGATGACCAGGAGTTCAAGTGATGGTTTAAAGCACACCATTGGTGTCATTTGAGGATCTTTTTTTGGTACAAAAGACAGAAAAATGTGCTTTAGCAGGTAAATCTGGTCCCTGTAACTATAGACCCGAAGAGAGGGCTAGCTTCAAATCATCTTTGTCTAGTGTTTAAATATTTTATTTTAGTTATTTTATTTAACTTTTTTTTGTTTTGTTTTGTTTTTGAGATAGGGTCTCACTCTGTTGCCCAAGCTGGAGTGAAGTGGCACAGTCATGGCTCACTTGAGCCTCCCTGGCTCATGCTGTTGTCCTACCTTAACCAGCCAAGTAGCTGGAACTACAGACGTGTGCCACCACACATACTAATTTTTTTATTTTTTGTAGTGACAGGGTTTAAATTTTGTCAACAGAATTGATTTTTTGGTGGTCCTGGCTTGGTTCTGTTTTTAAGATCCTCTGCTAATCCCTTACTTGGTCGTCAACCACCCCCGCTGAGGCTTGCACCTTGTCTGATAACTTCAGGAAGAAAGAAGAATCTCTGTCATTGGCCAGTGTGCCCATACCTGAATGCATCACTGGGGCCACGAGAATGGTTGAAAGTGATTGACTGGCTTAAAGCGAACAAGGCTCACTCCTAGAGCTAACATTGGTGGTGACAGGGATTAGCTGTCCAACGTATGACACACAGATAGCTAGAGTGGGGATATGATTACTACAAAGCAGATCATCTACAGCAAATTTCCACTATGTTGTCAGGCACTAAAAAGCACCAGGGCTGGGTGCAGCGGCTCATGCCTGCCATCCCAGCACTTTGGGAGGACCAGGTGAGAAGATTGCATGAGCCCGGGAGTTTGAGATCAGCCTGGGCAACACAGGGAGACCCTGTCTCTACAAAACTAAAAAACCAGCTGAGCATGGTGGCGTGTGCCTATGGTCCCAGCTAGTCAAGAGGCTACATTGGGAGGATTGCTTAAGCCCGGAGGTTAAGGCTGCAGTCAACCATGATCTTGCTGCTGCACTCCAGCCTGTTTGACAGAGCAAGACCCTGTTTCAAAAAACAAAAACAAAAACAAAAGCAGTATATGCCCAATGCTGAGTTAGGTGCTCTGCTCACCATAGCTTGTGTTATCTTTATAACAGTCTTAGAAGGCTGGTATTTTTAGGTTCATTTTACAGTCAAGGAAATTGAGGCTCAACCACTTACCCTAATGGAAGCCACATTTATTACTAACATAGTCAAGACATGTTTTACTCACGGTTTTGATGGACAGAGGAAGGATTAATGGGGAATAATTATTTGTAGAATGGTTTGGATGGAAGGCATCTAAACCTTCCTTGGACTTGAAAAATGAGTGGAAGCTTAGAATTTGACATGAATTCTTTGAGGAGCAATGAGCAGACATAAACGACATCAGGTTTACTTTTTAGGTGTGTATTGAGAATTTGTAGGATTCTTACTTCCCTCTAAAGGGCTCATCTCTGTGGAATACCTTTGTTCAAGCATTACATCTTTTAATGCTAGTCTTTTTAATTGAAGTGTAAGCATAAAGTACTTTACAGGTTTCTTAATTTTTCTTCATGACTTTCACATTGTCAGAAAGGCTAATGCTGTCATAGCGATATTATTCCATTGGCTAATTTGGAATACAGAATGTGTTGTATTTTCCTGGTCCCATCATTGTCTTCAATTGAATATACAGCTTCCCAAAACTTTCTTAAACATTTTTTTTTTTTTGTCTTTGAAAGCACGCTTGCTTTTGTTTAGGTGCATTTAAATGTTATCATAGTCAGCTGGGGTATATTGTTTGCATATAATTCCATTTCATTTTGGATTTTGGGTACCTGTGATATTTGTCTTCTTACCCATCAGTGTTTTCAGGTGTGGGCTCACAACACAAGAAATCCGCATCCATGTGGTAGCTGGGAAGAGAGGGCTTGACGACTATAGCAGGCAGATGGAAGCTCTCCTGTGAGAGTAGTAGTTTTGCTGTTGCTTGGTGGATTGAACTGATGTTGAGATTTCAAATATACATTACTAATCACTGTTTCTTTTCTGGGCATTGTGGGCCTTGGAGGCTTTCTTGTTTCGTATCTTCTGGCACCACAGGTGACTGTTAGTGGCCGGAAGGATGTGGAAGACTGGTACTAATCACAAGGAGTCACCTAGGTTTCAGATTGTGCTGTGTTTGGGTGGCAGAAGCCCTGGCTTTGATGCAGGGATGCTTGAGTCTGGTTTTCTCATCTACTGCATACCTACTGTGTGACCTGGGGCCACTTACTTCGTGCCTCTGCTCCTTAGTTTCTCCATCTGTAAAAGAGGCAGAATGACCCCGGCTCTGTAAAGATCAAATGGGGCCCGAGGGTCTTTACACACAGGTTATAAACTTATACATGCAGTTGGAACCGAAGTCTACCATTAGTTGTATGTGTGACCTTGGTCAAGTTCAAGTTCTTTCCGTTGTTGAAGCTTCAGTTTGCTTATCCATAAAAGGGCCCCATTATTGAGACCACTGTTTGTACTGCTTCGTGGTGTTTTGCAGATCAAAGAAGATAATGTCTATAAAGTGCTTAGTGTACTGCACTTCTTGGCACAAAGTAAAGGTTCCTCGTCAATGATTCCTAATATGTATAATAATAGTTTGTCTGGATTTTCCTATGGTTTTGTTTTTTTGTAAAATAAGTTGGTTCTAGTCAGTCATCCTAAGGACTACGATTCTACTCAGTCACCCAATGGTGTTCATTTGACCCCCTTCCTGTGTCCAGTTGGGTGCTGCCTTTGTCTCATTGCGGGTCTCCCTCTCTTCCAGCGTTGACAGAAGGCTACGTTGGGGCCCTGCACGAGAATAGACACGGCAGCGCGGTGCAGATCCGCAGACGCAAGGCTTCAGGCGACCCGTACTGGGCCTACTCTGGTAAGTCCAGTTGTTCTGATGGAGGTCACACAGGCCAGTTAACATCCCATGCAACTCACTTGAAAGCACACTTTGAATCACTTTTACGCCTGAGTTCTGTTTGCTCAAATCTTTCGTAGTTCACTAAAAGTTGAAATATTCGAGCCTGTTTTCCCTCAAGGTTATAAGTACCTTAATTTATCTCTACCACCTGTTTCCTCAACCTGTTTTCCCCTCAATTTGCATTTATTTCTGAACTTTACTGTTAATGAGTTATTGTACCAAACTTATAATTTTCTAAAAGACGTAGTCTTGTCTTTTCTGTTTTTTCAGGGGCTGTGATTTCAGAGAGCAGAAAATATATGGCTAGTCTTGAGCTGCTAAATGTCTGCTAAACATTACAAACATCAGATATCAGAATGCTCTATTAGGCTCTAAGCCAAGAAATGCAACTTTATTTTTAAATCACATCTTGTTCTTTGAATACATTTTAGCTGTCTACTCGATGGTAATCTGCAGTCCTTTTCATTTTTATTTTTACTTTTACCCTTTGAGCCAGTAAAGGGAAAGAGCATTGGTCTAACTATGTTGAATGTTACATTGGAAATAATTGTCTTACATTTTAAGGGGACAAAGATGAAGACCTAAAGCTAGGTACAGACTTTTCTGGATTAGGCTTCCCACAACTCCCAAAATATGAGAGGTGGATTGTTACTTCTAGAAGAGATTTTTGATGCTCAAAAATGTATGGAAAATGTATTACAGCTAATTAAGGAGGAATGCTTGAGTAAGATAGACCACTTTGGAAATTACTTTGGCACTGAATAATTCAAACTCCTTGTGTGAAAGAGCTTGGAGGCATGGAGTATTAGTCTTAATAATAAATCTATGTATTATGCAATGTTGTTGCATATAGAACTGAAAGTATTCTTTTCATAATGATGCTCGGGTTTAAATCCTCAATTTCTCCCAGCAAATCCTGTTAAATTTATGTCAGTGTAAAATTTATAGGTCTGATCTTTAATTACACCTTATCTATTGGCTTTTTGCATCGTTTTGTCTATTGATAAATCTCCTGCCCCTGCAGGGAGAATAGCCTATCTGTTTTGTTTTGCAGTGAACAGATAGTGATTCTGAAGTCTTCCATCACACACAGTACCTTGTGATTAGAATTATCTAATTAGAGGCTTTTTGTCACCATTTCTGATAAATGAAGGAAATTGGGAGATGAAAGCCAGAATTACATATATATAGCATCTTGCCAAGAAACCCAAAGAAAATTTATCATTTTGTACTCTGTGACTCTGACATCAGTCAGGAGGAGGCACAAAGTGGCCTGCTATTTACAGTTCATCAATTTAGAATAATAATGCTGTTAGTCAGGAAATTGGAAGTTATATCCCATTAGCATGTCCAATTGCAAATGGCAGTGAAGAGATGAAAGCCCTTAAACTTTTCCCATTATGTAGTTAAGAATGACCATAAGTGGTGCCGTCTTTGTGATGGAGTGATTGTTGATGTCTTTAACTTTGGTAGACTTCAGAAGTCTCCATTTTGTATTTCCGGAATGCATTGTGTCTGAATTTGGGTATTGCCTCCAGAAGTAGGAAGGGCTTATTAGTTCAAATTCAAGAGTTAGCATGCTTTTTCTGAAAAGAGCCAGGTAATAAACATCAAAAGCCTTATCGTCTTTGTTCCAACTACCCAACTCTGCCATTGTAGTTTAAAAGTACCCACTGACAATTCTGGACAGACTGGCTGTGCTCTGATAAAAATTTACTTATGAATACGGGAATTTGAATTTTATAATTTTCATGTGTCCGGAAATATTCTTTTGATTTTTTTTCATTCATTAAAAAATATACAAACCATTCTTGCTTTGCAGACTGTGCAAAAAAAGGTGGCTGGTTGGATAGGGTCCACAGGTTATAGTTTGTGAACCCTTGTTCTAGTTGATTTTTTTCCTAGAAATCAGATTAGGAGAGTCATTTGAGGAATTGCTTGGAAGGATGTGGACTGGTTTGGAAGAATGAATGAAGTCATTTGTTAGGCGTAAAGGACAAAATAAGAGTAAAAGAAGAATAGAATGGGACGGATATCAACTGATGGTATACAGTTCTTACGCTTGCAATAGTTCTTCTTGACAATTCGACAGTATCTATGGTTGGCTTATGCTGACGTGGTGCAGTATTGGTTCTCATGTCAAGAAGGCTTGGAGTTCATCACAGACATTCCTTAGCATTTGACCAATGTGTAAAAAAGGCCAGGAAGGAGTAAGAGTTGGGGCCTGTTACTTTGGGTGCATCAGACCAGCACCTTAAAACCACAGTAAATGAGAGCTGGGACTATTAGCTGCAGGCATAGTCCTCTAGATAAAAATGCTGCTTGAAAAGTGGGACTGACAAAAAAAAAGGCTCATTTTTTATGAGGGAAATGTTTCTAAATTTAGCAAAATGAAGCAAGCAGTTCCTGAAAGATTGCTTTGATACTCTAGATTTTAATCTCAGGGCTCAAATTCTCTGATCTGTCTTCTTTCCTCCTAAAATAATGCCATGGGTGCTTTAGGGGTGCAGTGTGTGAGTGTATGAGTTTTGAAGTCACATAGACAAACCATAGTTCAAAGCGAAGGTTTGTTAATATCTTGATGATATTGGAAAACTGTGATGTGGGAATGATTAATAGCACTTCCCACATAGGATTGTTACAGGGATTCAGTGAGATGACGTTTGTGAAAATGTTAACATAGTCTCTGGCATGAAGTAAGTAGTTAATATTACTTCTTGCTTATTTTTGAGACTGTTATTATTACTTTTGCTGCAATTAATGTTGTTTTTGGAATTCACAAGTGTTACAATTGACAGTGGGTGATGGCTGGATAGTTCTGAGAGCTGAACAAGTTAGATTCTCTTAGCCATAATTCTCAAGGGGTGCCTATTTGGGATTTGAGAATGAGGGTTAAGCAGACTGTCCTCAAGTTCAGCGGTCGGCAAACTACAAACTGCAGCTGTGTTTTGTAAAATAAATTCTATTGGAACACAAGCACACCCATGATGTTGTATATTATTTATGGCTGCTTTTGTGCTACATTTGCAGAACTGAGTGGTTGTGAAAGAGACCTAGAATATTACTATTCCAGTAATATTGAAGATCTAGTAATATTAAATATTAAATATCTAGTAATGGTGAAAAGCCTAGAATATTACTATATCTGGCCTCTTACAGAAAAAGTTTGCTGGCCGCGCGCGGTGGCTAACGCCTGTAATCCCAGCACTTTGGGAGGCCGAGGCGGGCAAATCATGAGGTCAGGAGTTCGAGACCAGTCTAGCCAACATGGTGAAACCCCATCTCTACTAAAAATACAAAAATTAGCCTGGTGTGGTGGCGGGCACCTATAATCCCATCTACTTGGGAGGCTGAGGCAAGAGAATTGCTTGAACCTGGGAGGTGGAGGTTGCAGTGGGCCAAGATGGTGCCACTGTGTTCCAGCCTGGGTGACAGGGCAAGACTCTGTCTTAAAACAAACAAACGAAACAAACAAAAAAACTAAACAAACAAAAAAGGAAAATGTTTGTCAACTCCTACTTATAGTAATATAGCTTGGGGTTTTAGCAGATGTTAGTCTGACTTACATTCAGAACTGTTTCAGAAATTTGGAAGTGTTTTTTTTTTTTTGCCTTGCATTTCCCTTGAGCTGGAATATCCTCAGCATGTCTTCTAGGTAGCATCTTAGTTTTTCTGAGATCCTGCTTTTGGAAAGGACTTGGGAGGGGCAAAGATGAGTTTATTTTGGTGGTGTTGGTTGTTTCTGAGACAGTGTCTCGCTCTGTCGCCTAGGCTGGGGTACAGTGGTGCCATTTCGGCTCACTGCAACCTCTGCCTGCAGGGTTCAAGTGATTCTCCCATCTCAGCCTCACAAGCAGCTGGGACTACAGACATTCCCCACCACGCCCAGCTAATTTTTGTGTTTTTAGTAGAGATGGGGTTACACCATGTTGGCCAGGCTGGTCTCGAAACTCCTGACCTCAGGTGATCCGCCCACCTCAGCCTCCCAAAGTGCTGGGATTACAGGTGTGAGCCACTGTGACCAGCCAAAGATGAGTTTAGAGGTCAGTGCTGCAGGAAATGCATCAGGGAGATGAGTGGGTGTTGGATGTTCTGGGGTGACTGTGTCCTGTTCCTTAGGTTGCCGTTGTGTGAGTAGGTCTGGTGAACAGTGCTGATCCTGTCATTCTCATGACATTCCCTTTTGGTCACTAAGGAGAGATATGAACTTTTCAACTGTGGATAGCTTGCTTTTAGAATATTTGTCATGACATTTTTTTAGGATATTGTCATGATAGTAGTTCATTAATATTAGTATAACTTTTCACTTCTCACCTTAAGACCTACCTGCTTTATTTCCATTTCACTGCATCACCTTGGAAGATGCAAACACCTTATTTATGTTTGAAATCTTAAACTTTACCTTTATAGGCCTATCAAACAATGCCTTTGTGAATACCTGTAATTTTAGTATAGAGAACTATTTATTGAGGAAGCTGGAGGTATGTATTAGCGTTCTCTTGTGGACGTTGGAAGATGCATTGTTTCTCTGGATCTTAATTTCATCTGCTAGTAAAAAAGGGGGACATAATATCTGATTCTGACATGAAAACATCATAGAAGGTATGAAATGGAACACAAATATAAGTTATTGTTGACATAATAATAGCAACGTAATTTGATGATTGCTTTATATCTTTGGATTTCTTTTTCCTTGTACCAACGTAGTAGGCAAAAATGGGAATGAGTTATGTTTCATATAGAATTGTACTGAAAAAATGCAGTAGTTTAATAGTATCTTATTGGAGATAATAAAACAATTTCTTTTCTATTAATTTTACTCAACTAAAGTATATTTCTGTCTTTCTTGGGGTGATGGTAGCTCATGAATTTTGGAGCCCAGAACTTCTGTACTTGTTGCACAAAGAGTAACACATGCTAGGCAGGTCGTCAATGCAGGAAAGAGAAATGAAAAATAA